GCGCTGATTGGCTTACTTTATTCAATAATTACTCCTTTATCATATGTAATAGAAAAAAATGGTTCAGGACTTTTCGACTCAGAATAATTCCTTCTACCTACCTACGAGCGGTTAGACGGTCATTATCAGACACCCTGTATATTAGGTATACAACTTTGCTTCCGCCGTTTTTCTATAGATGCCATTAGCGACAAGTAGACGTCGAGTACATACGTTATAGATGACTTGCAATACTCTTTAATATCTTGTGAACATAACCTGATAGCACTAGTACTTGATTTGTGTTTACATTATATAGTTATTCTCGAATAAAAATGTCAACTTATGAGCCGAATTTTTGTCATTTGCGGGAGGTGTTAATTTATTTTTTTAATATTAAAAAATCTGTGGCTAAGGCTCACCGAATGCTCTCAGACGCTTATGGTGAGGCTGCTATGAGTGAAAGAACATGTCGTGAGTGGTTTCAACGCTTCAAGAGCGGTGATTTTTGCGTAGAAAACCGGCATAGTGGTGGAAGATCAAAAGTTTTTGAAGATGAAGAATTAAAGCATTTGCTCAATGAAGACTCGTGTCAAAGTCAAGAGGAGTTGGCAAGATCATTGCAAGTGAGCCACCAAGCAGTTTCAAAACGCCTAAACAATCTGGGAATGTTTCAGAAGCAAGGATATTAGGTGCCATACGAGTTGAAGCCGAGAGATGTTGAACGGTGTTTCTGTATCTGTGAACAGCTGCTTGAAAGACAAAAACGGAAAAGATTTTTGCATTGCATTGTGACTGGTGACAAAAAATGGGTTTTTTACGATAACCCCAAGCGCCGAAAATCATGGGGATATTCCGGCCACGCTTCTGCGCTGACGGCTAAACCGAATATTCACGGCTTCAAGGTCATGCTCTGTATTTGGTGGGACCAGCTCGGTGTAATATATTATGAGCTGTTAAAACCGTCTCAAATAATCACAAGAGATCTTTATCGAACGCAATTAATGCGTTTGAGCCGAGCATTGAAAGAAAAATGGCCGCAATACCTTGAAAGACACGATAAAGTTATTTTGCAACATGACAATGCTCGGCCTCATGTTGCAAAAGTTGTCAAAACATACTTAGAAACATTGAAATGGGAAATCTTACCCCACCCGCCGTATTCTCCAGACGTTGCTCCCTCTGACTATCACCTATTTCGATCCATGGCACACGGCCTGAGGAACCAGCACTTCCAGTTTTATGAACAAGTCCAAAATTGGATCGATTCGTGGATCGCTTCAAAAGATGACCAGTTCTTTCAACGCGGGATCCGATTGCTGCCAGAAAGGTGGGAGAAAGTAGTGGAAAACAATGGACAATACTTTGAAACATAAATGTATAATCAGTTTTTTTACAATAAAGCTTTGAATTTTGAAAAAAAACGGCGGAAGCAAAGTTGTATATCTAATATTTTATAGAAAGACACCATATTTTCACTTTTATTCACAAAAAATTGAAATATATTTTTTGTATACAATCAAACTGAGAGAAGACATTACTTTTAATGCTTTGCTAAAATAATTTGAACAACATTATCCAAATAAAGTGTACACATTTCTAGAAATACCAGAGTGAAGTACATATCTAGAAACGGTAAATTTTTAATTTGCGTCTGTACAGCACGTTCGATATTGCTGTAATTACCTTTAATTGTTAATTTGATAATGTCTGCGTTTATATAAGCTTTCGGGAGTAACAATTCTGTTTCTTGTATTAAATACTTGGAACATTCGCTAACGCTGGATGCTAATNTATCCAAGTGTTCCATATACGCGTTAACACATTGCGCTATATTTTGCAAACCGAGAAATGTTGGTTTTTGCATAACAACAGAAGCAGAAAATATCTTGCGCTTCTTCACTCTAGAACAATCCGAATCTTCTTCTCTCATTGTCTCGCTGTTAGATGTTTCCTCTTCTCCGGACTCTTTGTGAGAAATTAATACAGCCTTNGCTCCATATGCCGTAGTAAATGCAATTGTNATATTATTATTTATTACAATCGGCTCTGTCTTGTATTTCNCTCCGTCCAAGTACAGACTTATTAACGGCATGGTATCTTGCAATTTTTTCCACGCGTCAGCATCGAGCCATATGATATTTGTTCCATTTCCGCATAATTTAATAACAGGATAAAAAAATCTGTTCTTTACATCAAGAAGCAATCCTACTTGAATTCTCTTTGTATAAGAATTATTTAATCCATACACGGTGGAAAGCAGCATCTCATGCCTCTCATTTTGCTTCTTGATGATTCCCATGCACGATTTTAAACTGGATTCAACTTGCTCTTTTTCACTATTCACCGCCATTTCTTTGCACTTTTCACTTTACACGCTTTTAAACCAATATTTACCGCGTAAAAAGATATTTCAAGCGCCAGCCGCAACTGTTTGCAACAGAATAATGATCAAAATGTATTTACATCGCTCTATTTATAGCAATTTTACTCTCTTGTGCGCATGAGCATCAACTTATTTTACCACCACCACCACTTTTGTTTAAACGGTAGATTAACAATTATTTTCAAAAGTTACAAATTTTTTCTATATATCATCCGCGTACGACACATAGTTTTTATTTTGCATTTACCTCGTGTCGTAGCTACCCGCACATGAGTGTATATGCGTATAAAAAACAATAAACAATTCTTTAAATGAGCATTTGTATAAACATTTTATTCTACATTGAATATCCATCTTGTAGAATTTTCTCGAAGTTTCTTGCGCGAACAAGTACGCGCAGGTTTAACGGTCCCGAGTCATAAATCGTTTTTTGTCTTCAAAAAAAATTATGTTCTCATCGGCACGTTCTTGTTACCCCCCACGAACATGCAGATTTAACGGTCCCGAGTCATAAACCGTTTTTTGTCTTCAAAAACTTATGTTCCCATCGGCACGCACGTGTCAACCCGCAGATAAAAATCGTTCAGAAAAAATCCGGACACGTACATTTATTTTTTATATTACATTCCTGACTTTCTAGTCACAGTCTTGCGACGCCTGCTTCGATTTTTATTTTGCCTAGACGCCCTCAACTATGCTTCGCACTCATTGGGAGCCATAAGTGCCCAGACGCTCATTGGTCCTTCCTTGGGGGCCCTATCATCCCCATCAACTACCCCTGAACCTCGCTCATTGGGAGCCATAAGTGCCCAGACGCTGATTGATTCTTCTCGGGACCGATGCCACCTCCGCCTTTACACTTCCTCAACCGACGCCAACTTGCTCTCATACACGTTTGAACGCACGAGCCAACAACATCGGAGTGCCGCCGTTGTCAGTACCAGCCACGCTTCAAAACGGATTTTTAAATAAATATATACTCTTTTAATAAAGAATTCTTACTCGAGAACATTCTCGAACTTTCCTCCCACACAAATTCCTCAACAAAAAAAATTTAAAATACACATTTTTAAAAAATTGGAAAAATTTATAAAAAATTTATGGGGTCATAAACCATGTCACTTTTCCATCCCCTTCAGTGGGCGTGGCCAATCACCACCAAGGGTAGGGGAAAACCACCCTGGTGGGGCAATGGCGCCAGAAGTGGTGAGGGGGCCAGGTGGAGGGGGTCCGTTTTGACGCACCATAAGTGCCCACATACTACTGAACATTCTAAAAATAAAATGTACGTAATGTTGCGAGAGAGACTCTAAGTGCCTCGGTAG